AACTGGATGGCTTAGTCGCAAGGTCATTCAAGGATTAGATATATTGTAATTGAGACGTATTTTGTTTAATTATTCATGTTAGGTATTGTTCTACTCATTAGAGTAGCTACTAGTGAGATCCACCGGTAGTTTAAGATCATATGTTAAACTCTAAACGTGATCATGTTAGAATGTGCGAGGAGGAGTAAAGTTTCCAAGTTTTCCTTGGGTGATTTCAGGTTGCACAAATTATACTACTCCCTCCGTTATCATATTTCTAGTGAGCTTACTTTTATGGAACCGAGATTATTCCGATTGCTTACACTGAACCTATCATTATGAGGCCGATGTTATTGCTGCTCACTTCGACATATATATATATACATGTTTAATTGAGCTTGATAACATTGTTGTATTATTTCATTGTTGTCATAGCATGACACTTATTTTGTGAATGATGAAAATTAAACTTTATTTTAAAGTATGACATGACATATTTTATGTTAATTTTTAAAATAGATTTAATTCTAGATTGGTTTTAATAAAATATTTGATTCAAATATACATAACACATCCGAGATAGGAGACGTCTTGGAATATAGAAAAACGGACTAAGTAGGTGAACTTGTTTTTATGTACTCCTTCTGTCTCTGAGAGTCTCATTTACCTTTTGTGTCATTGTACCGAACATTAAAAATATCTGTATATTTGTATAATTTTTTGCACAAATAAAAATCAAGGACCCTTGAATATATATATATATATAATATTTTTTAACCTATAATAAAATATATATAATAGAAAAGAAATATTTTTTCTAGTATTTTTTTATATAAAAATATCAATAACAATAACTATTTTTAAAGTTCGTATATAGTACTTAACCAACAAACCACATCCATCTATTAGCATATTAAAATCAAATAATTTGTATACATAAATATTATATATAACATAAATAAATAATGAACTCCTATTTAAATTGGGCCTTGGGCGGCGCTTCTTTCGCTCTGGCCCAGGGCGGCCCTGAGAAGACACTAATATATATTTTTGTCATTTTTCTTTAATTTGTACTATATTTTTATATAATAATTAATATTCAAATATCAACATGCAAAAAGTAAATAAGACCCTTAGAGCCGGACGGAGGTATCGTATATATAAATTTTTAATTGGAAAAAAACCTCCCGGTAAAGAGTGTGTTTTTGTAAATATTAATAAATCAACTTGTGTAAATAATAAATGTTTTTATTGTTTATTTTAATCTTAAAACTATATTGTAGGAGCTGCTGATCAATTATGTCAAAATTTCAACTTGAGCAATTAATTTGATACATAGTCGACTTATGGTAAAACCAAAAAAAAAAAAAAAAAAATTGATAAAAAAAATCATGTACAATGCTAATAAAATAGTTTTTTTCTTCCTTTTTTAAATTTTTTTTTAAATAGAAACTATCAAAGATCAGATTAAAATAAATAATAATAATAATAAATTAAGAAATATTAGTAAATTAAAAAAAATAAATATTTTGAATAAAATTATTTTAAAGTAAACGTAATGTTCTCTGTATTTTAATATTATATTTTAAAAACAGTTACATCCGGAATTTATTTTTACGTACGAAATATTAAAATATAATATACGAAAATACACATTTTAAATTTTGTATTATTTTTTAATAATAATTTGGATCATAATAAAGAGCATAATTATAAATTAAAATCTGAAATTTACTTCAATATGCTTTATTTCAAATAGATAAAAGACAAACAACAAAAGTAGGAACTTTTGTAATAATATATATATATATATATTTACACACATTCATTTACCCTTTCATTTCCAAATTTAGAAAACACAAAATAACAAACAATGTTCCTAAAATAGAAAGGAAATTGTAACACGCAATTTATGCATACACACACGTATATCTTATTAAAGTTGCATTTTATATAAAAAGGGGAAAAAAATCTTATCCATCAAAAGATTTTTTTTTTTTTTTTTTTTTTTTAAAAAAACAATGAAAATATATATATTGAAGAAAATAAAATGAAAAATAAATGTAAACATCAGTTCAGTCCAATAAATAAAGACCTAACGTTGAAAATGACGTCAAAATAAAGACTAGCTTCATGACCTAATTCCCCTTTTAATTTTTATTGCAAACAAATAATTAAAATAGACAATGATCTTATTTATTTTTAAAATATTATATAATTAGAAAGATTATTGTTATGTTTATTTGTAAAATTTTATCTCTGATTTTATTATTATTATTTTTTTTAAATATCAAATCAAACATTCAATTTTTATTTATTTTATTATACTAAAATCTAATTTTACATTCAAAATATCACATTAATACATATTTATATCACATCAAACCACTATTTCAATTCAAATTTTTGCTATTCAAAATCGAAACTCAAAACCAAAACCTTACTGTAAACACACCCTATGTTTCTATATAGGTTTTTGGTGTTTGAAAATTTTAAAAATAATACTCCCTCCATTCCATTGAAAGGTTACCATTTTCTATTTTCGTCCGTCTCGTTACCATTTCCTAATTTAGTAACTGTACTGTCTGCCTAACCTAATAAATATCCTTTCAACTTACAATATATTACACAAATGTCATTACTTTTATATTACAGCATACTAATAGGAGTATTTTTGTCATTTTCACTACAATTCAATATAATACTAATATTAAAAAATCTACTTGCAAAAAGCAAATGCCACCATTCCAATGAGACGGATGGAGTAAAAGATTTAGTACTATTTGATAAGTATAATATTATTTTGTAAAGAAATTATATATTTAATTTAACATACTTTTTAAAAAAAAAAAATTACTTCATCTGTATTTTTCTTGTGTTGTTCGTCTCATATAAGATGATATATTTCTATTTTTAATAAACTTATTGATCTTACGTATAGACCATTCAAAATTTTTTTATTTCTATCTCTTTTCAATAAATAAATATTTTTATTCATTTTTAAAACTTTTTATTTTTTTATAAAATTAGTTTTAAGCTAATTATAAATAAATGTATATTTTTGTTTATTTATATTATATTAAAAAAATTATTGAGAAAATAATATCCATATTGCATATATTTTATTAAGATATAATTATAAAAATATTTAAAATATTAAATACTACTCGTATAAAAAAAAATAAAAAAATAAAAAAATAATATCACAATTTATTATTAATAACTTACAAATCTACACTACTAATGTGTTTCTAACAAAAAAGCTCATCTTTGTTTGATAATTAGTGCTAAAACTTCAAAAGGTATGCAAGTCAAAAGATTTCTGTTTGATTTTTTTTTAAATAATAAATATTAATATAATATTTTGTAAAATAAAATAAAAATTTATATAATATTTTTTGTTAAAAAACAACTTTTGATAGCCTTCTGTATATACACATCAATAAAGCCTTTCATTGCATTTATAATTCTTTCACTGTATATAATTCATTTAAATAAGAACACTAGTCGATTACTCAATTTATTTATTTTTTAAGTAAAGTTGTTATAGTTATTCAAAATTCGAATTAAATTTTAATAACATATGCAAGACCCTATAGTATTATTGTTAAGCATAAAATGCGAGAAAAAAAAAAAAAAAAAGGTTGATTTTTCATCTAATTGTTTCTATTTATATAAATTTTCAAAATCAAATATTAAATAAAATATTTCTTTTTAATTTTTATTATTATAAAGTTTAATTTTAAATTAAAACACTACATTAATATATATATATATATATCAAAATTTTATTATTCAGGATATAACATAAATCCAAAATCGACTACTAAACACATCCTAAATAGTTGAATTATTATACTTTCTGTTCCAACTAAAATATCAATTTTACCATTTTCGTCTATTAGTAGTTAGTACAAATAATCATACACTAATAACAAAATATTATTTAATTTTTATATAAATTATAAAACATGCAATTAATTTACATATAAATACAAAAAATTTAAAATATCAAAACTAATCTACTATAAAATTTCAAATAATCTATTTGTATTGAGACGGACGAAATATTATGTTATTGAATATTAAAAAAAAAAAAGTGGCATTTTAATATATAAGGATGAATTTGGTAAATCAGACTCCAAAATCAGCTCAATCCAGTCCTAGAACCCGTCCGCTCAAATTTGTTGGGTTCATGCGAACCACTACATTGTAAAAAATATATATAAGTAGATCTGTCTTTTTTTAATTTTTTATGTTATAAAATAAATTATAATTTAAAAAATTCAAAAATTAAATATTTTAAATTAAAAAATCTCAATAACAAAAGGTGGTAATATATTTCTAATTGCAGTGACATAAGTACAGTAATATTGAGCTGTAAAAGAATAATGAGTTGAAAATTTTGAAAAATAAAAAAATAATAAAAACAGTAAAACTTTGAAAATTTAAATTTAAACATTATAAGTATACAAATATACTCTCTCAGTCCCATGACTATGTATCCGCGAGTTTTAAAAATCTTAGTATTATATTGAAATAAAGTAAAAACAAAGATAAAAAGACTTAAATTAATTATATTAATATTGTATGATATAAAAGTTATAGCATTTGTATAATATATTTAAATTAAAAAAGTATTTAAAAATGGATAGATTGTTAAGGGGCGAAGAGAGTATAAGATCAATTTTTATTAAGTATTAATTTAACAGAATTGGAATAAAGCCGATTTAGGAAGAATTTTTGATAAAACTCATAATCCATTCCAGATCCGGTCGAGTTTAAAATTTCAAAGCTCCCTAACCCACCCAACTATAAAACTTTAAACCCGAAACTTATCCCGGATCCGACCATGTTTAAAATCTAAAAACCCCTAACCCACCCGACTATACCTAAGTTCAAAGATCAATTCACACATCTACATACATGTGTGTAAATGTAACTTTTAACTTTTCTTAAAATAAAATGATCATAATGATTTTAAAATGGAAGGATTAATCAACATTGAACACACAAGCAAGTAAGCAACAATAATCATCACCATCCCTCAAATATTTTCAGCAGCATTTACCATATATGTATATGTGTATATATATTCCAAAATACCTACATCTAATTGATCAAACTAGGTAGGGAGGGATCATGAATATATCACACAAATCATCATATCCAAAACTACACAATTACGATAATTGTGCTACTTACGCTTCCTTTTAGGTTTTGGTGACGTCCTCTGTGTCTCCTTAAATGCCGAAGGACAAAGGTTCTTTATTGTACATACATCGCAATGAGGTCTTAGTGGAGTGCAAATAGTTTGCCCGAACCCAACCTAATAGTAGTTCCCAAAACACATAACACAATAAAAACTCTCGAACAAATTATTATAATTATTTATTTTTTTGAACTTTTTTCTTAAGTTTTCAAGAAAATACTTTATTTTTCTCATAAAAGATCATATATCAAACACCACTATACAAACATAAAACACAAATGCCTAAATCATCATATTAGACAGTATATCATGCAAAATATTTATCCAACAATATTTACCATAAAACCTTCAAACCGAAAATACAATATAATTAAAAAATTTAAAAAGTACACTTCAGAGAGAGAGAGGAAAACATAACTTCTTTTTGCAATTATTTATTGGAGATTATTTGATTTTCATTTAATACTGAAAAAGGACTTTTAAGAACTCACCAACATTTTCACTCACATTGAATAACCAATAATATAATAAAGTTCTTTTCTTCCTTCACCACCATCAAGAAACTACTGTTTACATGATAATATTTTCAAATAATTTAAATTTTACAAATTATTATTATTACATTATATATATATTTTTTAAAATAACTTCTACTCCAAAACTAAGAACAACCCAAGAATTTTTTTCTTGAAGTTTTGGCTATATGCTTTAGTTAGATTGATTTTTTCAAAAAAACAAAATATCGTATTTCTTTTAAAAACAAATGACGCTTAAAAACAAACAAACAAACAGAGGCTTTCTTACCATTTATATTACTCCTTCGACATCCAAAGTGTGCTAATTTTTATTTTTTTTATCATCCAAAAGTATCTTCATGTCTATCTTTAGTAAATATTATGCTCCATCTGTATTGTAAAAGCGTGCATATTTTACTAAATTAATTTGTCTAAAAAAATGTGCTCCTACCATATTGAAAAAAAAAAAAAAAAAAAAAAAAAAAGCTCAATTCATCTTTAAATCTTTAATTACTATTTCTCCACTAATTAACCCACATTTCACTCAACCTATTTTAATAATCCAAAAAATAACATAAAAATACTCCCCGTCAGCCAAATTTATTCCCACTTTACTTTTTAATCCATCCATTAAATTATTCCATTACTAATTTTGGCAGAGTTAACTAATCAACATTTAATTATTATCCTTCATTCAACACTTATTTACAACAAATTACCACTAACTTTATTACATTTTTTCTTTTCATTTACTTTACTTTTTAACTAAATTTCCAAAATTATCCTCAATTACCTATCACTTTTTCAATAAAATATTCATTTTTCTGAGTCTAAATGAGCTAATCTCTACACCAAAATTTGAGCATATACTCAAAACTTAGGGAGTATTTTACTTTTTATATTTTCTTACCGTAAAAGACAAATAATACCTGTTATTATCAATTCACATAAAAAAACATGTGCCAAAGTACTTGCATATTATTTATTTATTTATTTATTTTTATGACAGGAAGTTCCTCTTGCACAGAAATGCCATAACCACGCAAGAGGATGCTCTTCAACGACAAAGAACCCATCCCTATCAAACATGTTCCTAATGTACAACTCCCATTTTTTTGTCCCCTACTGATCTTTTTCACCTAATTTAATTCAAATTAACAAACACCAATTTCCAATGTGTATCCTATGCAAGCTGTTAGTTGTGTCTAGCCGAGTATTCAATATTCGAACATTGCTCGAGCTGGGTGTGTTCGACTAGCTTGGCTCGCATAACAGCACTAATTCTAAGATTCATTTGGCTCAGATTCTATATATTGATTTCAATTTATCAAATTTGCGCACTATGAGAAACCATCTAAAAGCGTTCATGCAAATATGTAGAAATAAATAAAGGATGTCGTAAGCATAAACATACCAAGAGAGGATTGATGGGAACCCATTCATCCTTTGGAAGCCACAGCTGCAAGGATTCTCGAGTCTGCTCAGGAGTCGATGTTTTCTAGAAGAATACAACTATTGATCAATGTGTTTGTCATATTTTCACCATTGCATTTTGTCCAAGTGATTGAATATTTTCTTTTTGTAAAATTTTTCCATATAACATAACAATAGGATGACTGTACCTGTTTAGTGCCGGGACGAGAAACCCATCCAAGACGATTGCAAATACGGTGAACGTGAGTGTCGACGCAAATTCCCTGAACATTATCCCATCCGACGTTCATAACCTAGAGAAGGAACAATGCCACAATTTTATAATGAAATGCAAGTCAAGCAATTCATGATTGCAAATTTAATCATGTAGGTTTGGCCAGATTGCAAATTATCACAAAATGAGCCATTTTAGGGGCGCTACTTTATAGAGGACCAATATGTAATTTTCCGTTTATATTTTAAATCTCACCAAATGAGCCATTTTAGGGCCGATTCCTGGAAGCTGGAGCAACTCCTCCAATGTTGTTGGAATGTCTCCATCATACTTTGAGAGACAAATCTTTGCGATTTTTTTCATGTTGGTTGCCTTTCTGGAATAAAATCCCACCTGCTCAGTCAAAATCGAACAAGCAGTGAGATGAAGCACTCAAACCGAGTTAAGCCTCATGGAGCAATAACATTATAATAGTTGAAAACTAAGGGTGTGTGTACTGGATAAATTAAGCCCTTGATTGTATCTTCGTCTGCATCATTAATGGCTTCAGCTGTAAGCAGATTGCTTTGAAGTAGGCGTGTAATAGCTCCTGCAAGACACGGTTTGAAAAATATTAAAATAAAATTAAAAAGAAATATATCACGAATATATCAATTATTAAGACAAAATTGTACGAAGGATGCTACAAATTCTGAATATGGATGACATGAAGTCAACTTGAGCTTGAGTTCAAGATAATAGTAGATTAAAAGTGAAAGATTTGGATCTTGGATGCATTTGTAAGTAGGGGCTCAGCTTCTGAGGCCCTCAGCAATCCATAAGTCTTGGACTTCAAATAATGTATTATATATAGCATAAAAATATGAAAAAGATAAATATATGAGTATGCAGCATTCCACTTAATACAGCAGCACTTACCCAAGCTCAACTGGCTTGGCAATCAAGTACTTCGAACTTGAGGTCCCGTACGGCATGACCTAGTGGTGTGGGAGTAAACTTGTGACCTTGAGGTCATAGGTTTAAACCCCAACACCTCCGGATCTTGCCAGCCACATATGGTTGCCTAGTGTGACCGTCGTATAAAAAAAAAAAAAAGGTAATTCAAACTTTACCGGTTCAAGAAACTATACTAGTTAATCAGCTATAATTGTAATGATTATGAATCTATATCATAGCTGAAAAAAAGACAAAAAAAGCCTTTAAAACAATGCCACCAATAACCGACCACCTCAGATAGGGCTCCTGGAATCTTTCTTTTTGTTTTTTCACTAACGTGGCAACAAGTTGAAGACAATTTTGAGCTTCTAGAATATAAAGAGATGATGCTGTTTTTGTTTCTCACGATTAAAAAGAACCAAAGGCGACAGTCAACAAACATAAACTTATTTTCAGGTCTCGACAATGACAATAAACAACAAAAGAGTGGTCCGGTAAATCATAAATCAGGGAATCATTAAATTAAACTTTTTTCTTTTAAAAGCAAAGATCAACATAATTAGAGCAAAATAAATGAGGACTTGCCGTGAGTAACATTATCTTTAGTCTGGCTTGACAAAAGTGATGATATCAAAACTGCAAACCTTCTTTCCTGTAAAAATAAAATCCAAAATAGTAAACTATAAACGAAATTCAAGGCATAGAAAAACAATAAAAAAATTTCATGTTAGGAAATCTGGAAAAAAATATTCAACACAAAATATGACATATATAACTAATGGAGCCCAAGATTTATGTCTCAACTTTGCATGGAAATATTACTAAAAATGAACCACCTTAGGAGGAAGGGAAGAACCGGCTTTTTCGCACCCCATTGAATCAACGGGAGCATCCTCAGAAGACCTCATATTGCGTATCCCTTCAAGTACCTTTTCCCAGTTTAGAGGTAGTTGTACTTGTGCTGTCAACAGAACTTAAATTAAATTTCAAGATAAATTATAGATCAGTTAGTATTAATCCCAATTTATTTTAAAACAATGGCATCCCTTTGTTTCCAACTAAATACACGAGCTTCTATTAGCATCGAATCCTTAATGCTCATTAAATTCACAAGTGGACATCTGCAAGAAAAAAAGTTGTGCTCATCTAAAGACATATTTTGTATCAGACAAAAATTAGTAACTTCAGTTTGGGACACAAGAAGCTAGAATTATCTGTGTCGTGGCATTCTGAGGGCAATAAAAGTATATTACGATCAGGTATGAAGGGACCCCAAAACAGAAAATTTCAGAATTTAGCCTTTATTGGCTCTTATTATAGATAAACACACAGCATATCATGCTACAAATCCCTAAAGTCATCCCAAAAATGCAGACCGACAGCTTCTTTTAAAAACTCAAGAGAAATGACCCAAAAGAACAGAAAGGCCAATTATATATGTATTCCAAGAATATTGTTGGATTCAGAGGATATAAGACTTTCAAGTTTGTAACATACTTGTGTGCATACAATTGTTGACCTTTCCATATGCAAAATCTTCAATTTCAGGGAGGTTGTAAGGCTGCTGCGTCAAGCAATGCAATGATACAACTTCACAGTAAGATTAAGCTGCTATATATAAGTCGCATGCTATATTTACATCATCAGGATCAATAGCATTACAGAAAATCAATAATATGACAGTTAAAATCAGAGCAAATAACAACAAATGCTAGAATCAAAGATCAAGGTGCAATGCCATTAGATGGGGGTATTCAGCATCATCCGCTGCCATTCTGGAACCAATTTACTTCATATTAAGTAGGAATGCATCATGCAAAACAGCCTGACCCACCCAATATAGTCAGAAAAGTCCAACCAAAACGACTCAAATAATGTCAAGAACTTTAAACTACTGCAGCCTATCCAATCATGGTAAACTTATTTACCACTTGAAATTTAACATGGAAGTCATATACTAAGCATTTGTTCTATAAGGATCTCATATAATCCAGTGAACCCCCCGAGTTATAATTCAGGCACGGCAGTAAGTTACTAAATACCCAAACAAGAGGAATAGCAATTTCAAAACATTTCTCTGGACAAACAACCGTCGTAATTAAGTCGATAGCACTCCAATTCACCATAGCCCAGTTAAGAAATATATCTAATGTTTACCAATATTTAGAAAGGAGGAACTTGTTTATCATATCCAAATATGAAAGAAAGTATATGCATCAGCCATTCAAAGTTTAAACATCATGGTCGCAATTAATAATCTCCCTTTCCTCATGAGCAAAAACCCTAATTTCCCATCATCATGAACGCATAAATCAATCACAACAATGGCGACAAAACTTTAATCAGAGAGCACCGCCGCTAAACTCGACAAAAATGAAATTTTAAACAATAAATATGCTAAACCAAGAGAGCTCATAAATTTCTTCACACATCGAAAAATAAATAGAATCCGCATATCACCTTCTGATCAACAACGTCAACCTTAACCTCTTTAACGGCTCCTTGGGACCTTTTCTTCCGAACAAAGACGCGAAGCTTCCCCGCGCAATCATCACTGACACTTTCGGTACCTAAAATAATCACCAAAACGAAAGCTTCGTCTGAGCAATTTTCTGTAAAATGACCAAAAAGAACTTAAAAATTGGTCGACTTTCCAAAGATTTCTGACCTGGACTTCTCGATTCAACAGATGCGTTTAGCTCCCTCTTGGGCGACGATAATCTGGTAATCGGCATTTTGATGATTTTGGGGGAGATGAACGATACGTGAGAGGATGCAGTGAAGTTCCTGAGCAGCTGAAAGGACATCTTTCTTGGAGAGGGAAAAAGTCTTTTTCGGTCATTTAATAATGTTCGGTTTATTATTATTATTATTATTATTATTATTTTGTTTCTTTTAACCTCAAATTCTATCTTTTTAACTATGAGAAAAAATACACTTTTTACTTTCATAGACCAAAATTTTTTAAATCAAAATTTTTCAAATTCTATCAAAAGAAACGTACCTTTAACTTTTAACTTAAAAGGCAAAATTAAGGGAGGAATAAAAAAAACAATTATTCCTACTTATTCATTCTCCTTCCATTCTACACACATTATTCAATCTCTATCCGCGCTTTCACCATGACGCTAACGTTCACTTTATTGCTTCATTTCACATCCGGCCGCACTTCATTTTAGTTTTACTACCTCACTCTGTTTGTGGGCTTATTAAAGGACTGGTCAACGATTCTAGAGCTCCAATCATCAAGTTTTTCCTCTTTTAGTAAAAATTTTTAAATATTTTTAATCGTAAGTAAGAATACATTTTTGTACAATAGTCCTTGTTTTTAGTTTATTTTTACTAAGATTGATCATGTCCTAAAAATTTTATTTCAGCACATTGTTAATGTTTATAAATCATGTAATGACATGGTTAATCAATCATATTATACCATCATGCCATGTCATTACATATTTGATATAAACATTCAGCATCACGTTGAAATAAAATTTTCAGAATCTGATCCATACTCTATTTTTAGTATTAAGAGTGAATAAATTTTCATCGGGCACTTCAATTGATTGTCCTTTATTTGAAATAGTTGTCATTTTGTCTTTTTTTTTTTTTTAATTAAGTTATTTGTTATATACGTATGAGCTACTTATATTATATATGGATGCTACGTGGACGTTTTGTTTATGAACACGATTTCTATTGTTGGCCAAATTGTCTCTGCTGTTTGTATGATGGTTTGGTGTATATATATGTCTTTCGCCGTGAATAATATGAGTAGAAAAAAACTCATTTAACATCTCTGCAAGTTCCCTCACATCTATCAACTTACTATTTATTGCACGTACACATACATCACTTCATAATCTATCTATATATATATATAATATTCATATACACAACACATCCACATATACATACATACATATATTATACTTACTAACTTACATATATTTGTATATCATATTATATTTATTATATAACACGTTATCAACACGAAGACTCTTACCTATTTTATTTTTGGTAAGTTTTATTTTTATACTATCTATATTATCTATTTTCTAAACTATAGAAAATCTTGCAAAATTTTCTTTTAAACCTCTGTCTCTCACCGGCAATAATTTTCTGACTTGGTCCCTGGATGTAGAAATGCATCTGGTTTCAATGGGCCTTGTTCATACAATTGCCAGTGAAAATGCGGCTACAAGCCAAGATCGGGCTAAGGCTATTATTTTCATTCGTCATCATTTGGACATTCCTCTACAGTCTGAATATTTGACGGTGAAAGATCCACTAGACTTGTGGAATGAATTAAGGGAGAAATTTGGACACTTGAAATATATCACTCTCTTGAAAGCCCGACATGATTGGCTTAACCTGCGGTTGTAGGATTTTAAAACTGTTATAGAGTATAACTCTGCTATCCATCAGATTACATCTCAGTTAAAACTCTGCGGAGAAAATGTTAGTGAGAATGATAAATTGGAGAAGACTCTCTCTACCTTTTATGCTTCTAATATTGTGCTGCAACAGCAATATCGTGAGAAAAATTTTCAAAAATACTCATAGCTCATAGCATGTCATTTATTAGCTGAGCAAAATAATGAGTTACTGATGAAAAATCATCAGTCCCGGCTCACTGGTTCCAGTCTGTTCTCTGAAGCGAATGTGACATTTTCTGAACGAGGCCGAGGACGTGGTAGAGGCCGTGGACGTGCTCGCGGTCGTGAGAGTCAACACGGTCGATATACCCCTTACAATCGCCGCAATTTTGACGTTAACAGGATGTAGAGTAAACCCCAATATGGGGATATAACCGAAAAGGCTAAACAGGGAAAAAGGAAAATCGGCATTTGTAATCGGTGTGGCATTGAAGGCCATTGGGCCAATACCTGCAGAACAGCCAAACACCTAGCCGATCTTTATCAAGCCTCACTATAGAAAAAAAGGGAAGGAAGTCGAGACTAATCATGATGATAATGATGACGACCCCGATGATGATCTTTTGGATTACGACACAACGCATCTTAATATAGCGGATTTTGTCGTAGATCCAGCAAACCCCAGTGATAGACATATTATGTCATTTTACATTATGTTTTGTAATATTTAGATTATCGCATATTACCTTTTTGTAATGCATTTTGTAATATTTATATTTGCCTTTATTAATACTACGTTTATTTATATGTGAAGGTTAAATGGATGCCAATCAAAATAATGCAAATATGTGTTTCATTGACAGTGCAATGACACATACTATATTGAAACACGAAAAATATTTCTCCCATTTGAAAAGGGAAAAAAATGAATGTCAATACAATAAGTGGCAGTGCAAAATTAATTGAAGGCTCTGGAGAAGCCATTATATTTCTCCCCGCGGGAACGAAAATTGTGATACAATATGCACTGTTGGCCACTAAAGCTTGAAGAAATTTATTGAGCTTTCAGGACATTCAGAAAAATGGTTATCACATTGAAACTGAGTGATATCGATGGTGAATTTTTATTGATCACCAATATCATTGATAAAAGGAAATGCATCATTAAGAGATTACCCTCACTCTCTACTGGCTTATAGTACGCTAGATTAGGTGTTGTTGAAACACACCTCACGGTAGATCAAAAGATTACCGATTTTCAAATATGGCATGATCACCTTGGGCATCCTAGCAGTATAATGATGAGGCGAATAATTGAGAATTCGCATGGCCATTCATTAAAAGGTCAAAAAGTGTTAAACTCAAATGAGTTAACCTGTGTTGCCTGCACTCAGGGAAAATTGATAACTAGGGCATCGCCAACAAAAGTAGGTATTGAATCACCTATATTTTTGGAAAGAATACACGGGAATATATGTGGACCAATAGACCCACCGTGTAGGTCATTTAAATATTTTATGGTGTTTATTGATGCATCTACCAGATGGTCACATGTCTGTTTATCATCTACTCGCAATATGGCATTTGCGAGATTGCTTGCCCAAATTATTAAATTACGGGCATCATTCCCCTATAATCCAATTAAGACTATACGTCTGGATAATGCTGGTGAATATACATCGAATGCATTTGATGATTATTGTATGTCGATTGGAATTAATGTAGAGCACTCAATTGCTCATGTTCATACACAAAATGGCCTGGCAGAATCACTTATTAAAAGATTGCAATTGATATATAGATCATTACTAATGAGGTCTATGTTGCCCGTTTCAACTTAGGGGCATGCAATCTTACATGCAGGAACACTTATAAGAATTAGGCCGACAAGCTATCATAGCTATTCCCCAATGCAGTTAGTATTTGGTCACGAACCAAATATATCTTCTCTACGTATTTTTGGTTGTGCTGTTTATGTTCCTATTCCACCCTCCAAACGTACAAAAATGGGACCTCAATGTAGATTGGGCATTTATGTCGGATATGAATCACTGTCAATTATAAAATATTTTGAACCTATGACGGGTGATTTATTCACTGCAAGATTTCCAGATTGTCATTTTGACGAATCATATTTTCCGACATTAGGGGGAGACAGAAATGAACCGAAAAGGGATATTAATTGGAAAATTCCATTGAATTTTTGTAATCCTCGTACAAAGCAATGTAACTAGAAGTTCAACGCATTATACATTTGCAAAATATTGCAAATAATTTACCGGATGCATTCAATGACTCGAGCAAAGTCACTCAATCATATATCCAAGCTCCTAATGCTACGGCTAAAATAATTGTCCCTGATGGACAAATTACAAGTGCTAATGAATCAGCGACACACTTAAAGTGTGGTAGGCCACTCGGTTCCAAAGACACACATCCTCAAAAGAAAAGAGGAATTAATGATGATAATCATGAAAATATTAGGAATGACATTGATAAACCTCAATCTAATGAGGAAGTCAACCCTGAAATAATTGCTCCAGAAGAGCACGATCTTGAAGAACATGATGAGATTATTGAAAACTCAATTAACTATGTTACTTCAAGAAAATATTGGAACCGTAAAGAGATAGTTATTGATAATGCCTTTGCATACAGTTTAGCACTTGATATAATGGAAGATAATGAGGATCTAGAGCCAACACCGGTTCATGAATATCGGCAAAGAAATGACTGGCCAAAATGAGAAAATACGATTCAATAAGAGCTTGACTCATTAAACAAAAGGGAGGTCTTCAGACCAATTGTTCAAACGCCAGACGATATAAAACCAGTTGGATACAAATGGGTATTTGTATGAAAAAGAAATGAGCATAATGAAATTGTGAGATATAAGGCCTGTCTTGTAGCTCAGGGATTCTCACAAAGGCCTTGAGTAGATTTTGATTAAACATACTCTTCAGTTGTCGATGGAATAACATTAGATACCTTGTGAGCCTAGCGGTGCGAGAAAAGCTCGATATGCGTCTTTTAGACATAGTTATTGCATATATTTATGGCTCCTTGGATACTGATATTTATATGAAAGTTCCTGAGGGATTCAATATGCCTGAAGCATACAAATTAAACCCAAGGGAATCGTATTCCATCAAATTGAAAAAGTCATTGTATGGACTTAAACAATCAGGGCGAATGTGGTATAACCGTTTTAGTGAATGTTTAATAAAATAATGTTATACTAATGATTCAATATGCCCATGCGTCTTTATATAGAAAAATGAATCAAATTTTGTTATTATTGCTATATACGTTGATGATCTCAATTTAATTGGAACTCCTGAAGAGATCCAAATTGCAGTTGAATATCTAAAGAAAGAATTTGAGATCAAAGATTTTGGAAAGACAAAATATTTTCTGGGATTACAAGTGGATCATATTAATAATGGAGTA